AATAACGTTGATTACCATTACTGATCATAGTTGTTTTGTTCAATTCACGGTAAGAATCTAGAACTAATTTTGGAATACAGACGAGTAGGGAAAATTATCAAAGACAATTGACTGGGAGACTATCAGACGAGAGAGGGCAGGCTTACTTTCACGTCAGTTGAATTCAAAACTGTCCACGTTAGGCCGATATGCTTACTGACGAGTCACAAGGAAAAAATGTTACGCTTTGAAGCATAAGTGATTATGTAGAGAGAAAGAGAGGGGAGAGAGAAGAGAGAGAGAGAGAGAGAGAGAGAGAGAGAGAGAGAGAGAGAGAGAGAGAGAGGGGGGCATTGGGAAATAGAGAGGAAAAACAGAGAGAGTGAGAGAGAGAGAGAGAGAGAGAGACAGAGAGACAGAGAAAGATGATAAGAGGCTCTTTTACTTTTTCTAAACGCACTTTACAGTTACTTACCAATTCATATTTTGATCCATATCTATACCTTTGATTATTGTTCTTTATTCATTTTTCAACAATAATATTTAAACAAAATACTCTCTACTCCCCGCTTTTAGCAATGTAAGCATGTTCAATATTTATTTGCTACTTACACTTGGGGGGATTTTTCTCCGATCTATAATGCTTTTGGTGCTTTTGTATGCATTCTCTGAAAGGCATCTTCCTTGAGTTTGGCACTAGATGCCGAGTGAAATTACGTAATTTTAAACTCTGATTAGAAAAGAATGAGATCGAATTTCTCTTCAAAAGAATCTGAGACCACTTGACTCTATTGGCTTTGTCACGACATTGACTTTACAAAGGAGCACCCCCGGTACAGACGTCTATGTTCAACCGTATAGCTGGAGAAATACTAATGAAAAGTTGATTCGATGCACAGAGCCTAGGGTTTTGATGATTTATATTCCATTTGATTTACAGACTCGTCGTAAAGAGTGTCTTACTTCAACCTTTGCCTCCTGGTTATGTACTCTCTCTTCCCCCACTCACAAGCAAAAGCGGGTTTCCCGATCTCACTGCAGACATTGAGGATACCGTATAATGATTACTTAGGGACTGAAGTTACCGGCTATCATTAATCACCGCGCTAAGACACGACATATTTTAGCAGACACCTCGCCACAGTGCGATGAACTGATAAGTCGCTTACTAACTGAGGAGCGATGTCTTTATTTTACATTATACCGCGATGAGCAGGTCTTTTAAGCGAGTATACATGTAATATTATCTTGTTCATAATCATAATTACTTGGTAGAAGCAATTCATTTTTCGTTTGTAATTGGGCGCGGTGGGTCTTTCCAGATTCGACCCGCCATCTAGGTTTTTAATTGAGATGTATCACGGATATTCATCCCTGCTTTAAGACGTATTAAGTCCACGTCACAAGCGAATATGATCTATCAATAAGCTCATAAAATCGGAAGATAGACGGCGAACATTGTAAGATATTTTCCGGACTATAATCTTCTTTCCCTTGTAGAGTATTCGATAGGCGTGTCTTACCACTATATTTGCTCGATTCTTGAAACGAATGTTAGCCTTTTTTCTTACCATAACATTTAATGAGCGATATTTTCATTCATATTGTGGAAGATAATGAGGAGGCGCGATGGCTCGGTGGTATAGCAGTGGTCTCGTAACCGAGAGGTCCCGGGTTCGGAACCAAGTCAATGCGCTCATGCCCTTTGGTAATGCATTAATCCTCATTCCCTGCTGTAAAGAACACACTCATTCACACTCATTCACAGTGTGAATCACAGTGTGAAATCATAGTTCACACTATGAACACAGTGTGAAACACAGTGTGATTCATACTATGAATGAGTGTGAATGAGTGTGTTCTTTCCTTTTCCGATTATCCACACTGTGAACCAAAGTGTGAAACGAATCGACCACAATGTGAAAACGCCCCAATTTAACATTTTGGAGCACACTGTGATTCAAAGTGTGAACACAGTGTGATTCACACTATGAAAGAGTGTGTTCTTTCCTTTTCCGATTATCCACACTGTGAACCACAGTGTGAAACGAATCGACCACAATGTAAAAACGCCCCAATTTAACATTGTGGAGCATACTGTGATTCACAGTGTGATTCACACTGTGAATGAGTGTGTTCTTTCCAGCAGGGTTACCAAGCCCCTCGGAGAGGACTTAAGGCCATCTGGCCCCTGGCTACTTACTTACAAACTCATAATGCTTTTTTAGCAGTAGTAAAACAATAATCAACCAACCAACCACATTATACATAACTGCATCGCTGACCTATAGGGCGGCATCTCAAAGTGTTTCAAGTCCAGTCGGAAAGTCACTATATTATATATTATGATGATTATATATTGTTATTATTGTTCTAAACTAATTCATACCTTTCATGAATTCAACTTTCTTGCTTTCTAATTATGTATTTCCTGTATGCAATACTGACAAAAAGTGGGTGAGGGAGGAGAGATAGGGTCAGAGATAAAATGGATGAATAGTAGAGGAATAGAGGAATAGAGAGAGAGAGAGAGAGAGAAAGAGTCTCAGGAGGAGACAGAGAATGAAAGAGAGAGAGAGAGAGAGAGTTAAAAAGAAAAGGCAGTGATGAAACGGATGAATAGTAGGGGAAGAGAGAGAGAGAAATGAAAGAAATAGAGAAAGGGAAATGCAGAAAGGCGGAAAATAGAAAGAGAGAGAGAGAGAGAGAGAGAAAGACAGAAAGGCAGAAAGAGAGAGAGAGAGAGAGAGAGGCAGAGAGAGATGGAGATGAGTCAGAAAACACCCTGGCACGTGAAATAAATCAAGCACTCACTGTCTAACACCCATCGTTTATCTCTTCGCCAAATCTTTACATGAATCGCACGATGCATGCGCTATTACAACGATTTTGCCACGCTTTCCCCCGCTAATAAGCTAATGAAAATTGTAATCAAGTTACAATTTAATGAGAGAAATCTTAGCTCTGTATTTAGCAATTTATAAATCGAAACTGCAGAAACGATGCGCGACATAAACGGCAATTTCAGGGGGAAAAATAAGGAGTTCACTAACTGTGTTCGTAATTGTATGATGGGAAATACAGATCGATTTTTTAGGCTAATAGGGTCTTCAATTAACAGGATAAGGAAGATTTGATATAAATTGATAATTATATGGAATACCCTAATTAAAGCATAGTCCAAGTAGAGACTATGCAGCGACAGATTGATAGATACTTATGTAAAGATCTACGTGGATAGGGAATAGACAGAACAGGGGGTGTTTCACAAAGATCCTAGGTCGAACTTAACTCTAAGATGGACTTGAAAATTATGGAGAGCCGTTTGTAGCCTTAAAATGAAATATATTCAAAAGCGAAAATTCAAGTATTTTAGACTTAGTTAATATAAATTCCACATCAAGAACACACGAAATCTCCTTGATGATAGAAAATATGAATGATTGGTATCAACATCTTATGCCTTTTAGAATAACTTTTAACAAATATTTTTATGATTGGCAACGGCTTTCCATAATTGTTTAGTCCAAGTAAGAGATAAGTTCAACTTACCCCAGGTAGTATAATGGACAGACATAATTTAGGATAGTAAGATAATAGTGTTAAAACATGATGGTTTGAATAAACATATTTTGATGGAAAATTCAAACAGAATATGTCAATACACAAAGTAGTAACAAATTAAGATGATACTTTTTACAAATTATTGAGTAAATAGACGATGGGGAGGGATTTGATATTGAAAGATATTGAATACAAGATCTTTAAACAAAATTAATGAAAGGGGCAAAATAGAACCCCCTCCCCTCCACCCCCCCCTCCACACACACACACACACACACATTATGGGAATTTGTCGACTTCATGCCAACACCACGAAATATAGACGTTTTGAATGAATTCAGAATTAACAGTTGGGCAAAATAGATCATTAATGTGAAAACTACTTGGGGTGGTGAACGACATATCACTGTAAATGGCGATCCAGAGTGAAAAATGAAAGGGCTAATGTTGTACATTGAGTGCGTGCGAGAGCGTTAACATTATCTTTAAATCCTCCGTCATTTTATCTTTATACAAAATCTATCCTTCAACTACAGTAAAAGTTAATTTCATATTTCATTAATAGGCCTACTTCTTTTTAATATTGCACCGGTTATTGGTCTTGTGTGGGACAGGGGAGTAGATATCAACGCCGTCATGGTCACCCGATGGTAGGCCTGTATGAAAAATAATCTAGACGAAGATCGAGCAGGGCAGTATAGCTCACCATAATCCTAATAATGGACGGTTAGCGGGGGAGGGGTCAGATTTGGCAATATTCTCCGAGATTGGTGGTCATAATTTGCTGCTGTATACATCCAGCGCGTTTAACCCCGCTTTTCTCATTTACGCGAGGGAAGGGAGGGAACTGATAATTGCAATTTTTGTCACCGATCATCTTAAACACATGTCTTACATCTCATCATCTAGGGCGCACACAATTTACGAGATGAGGTTTTCATTGGCTCTTATTGCATTATAACGAAGGAGGGCGCGCGAATATAAATCGTTTCGCGCTCGTCCTAGGTTTACGACCGACAAAACGACTGGAAAAGAAATCTATTCTCCGGTGCTAAACATGTCATTTATCGTTCATATCGGACGGGCTTATCCACGTGTATCTCGATATTAAATTGTTGTTATTTGACTCGGCACCCGCCAAACGGAGTATAACGGAGTTTAATACCTGCTGCAATCATAGAGCGGGGCCTTCTCACGCAATCACTTTTAAAGGGATACATAAGAAAAGAAAATCAGGAGGATATTGAAGAAAGGAGTGAAATATGAGAGTGGAAAAGAGAGCGAGGGATGGGGTTATTAGAGCAAGGCTGAAGGTGGAAATGAAAGAGAGAGAGAGAGAGAGAGAGAGAGAGAGGATGGAGAGAGAGAGGGAGATGGATAGAGAGAGAGAGGGTGAGATAGATTAGGGGAGGGGGAGAGAGAGAGAGAGAGAGAGAAGAGAGAGAAAGAGAGAGAGAGAGAAAGAGAGAGAAAGAGAGAGAGAGAAAGAGAGAGAGAGAGAGAGAGAGAGAGAGAGAGAGAGAGAGAGAGAAAGAGAGAGAGAAAAAGAGAGAGAGAGAGAGAGAGAGAGAGATAGGGGAGGTGGGCAATTAGGCCACAAGCATTTAAAAGAAGCGCATTCTTTATATTTGAAAATGTACAAACAAAAAAACGTACATCTTAATAGTTCACAATCTACGCAAGATAGCTGGACGACAACGAAGTGAGACCAAAAGCCAGCTTAACTATAATTATGACATGATCATTTTATTGATTGAATGAGATTCTAGAATAGTCAACAAACAAAGTTGGCAGAAGGTGTGTATGTGTGATAAGTTACTATCTTCTGAAGATAGCACAGAGTCTCATTGCTACTGAAAGTTCTAACACTATATTGAATACGATGAAACTCCTTCCTGACTTTATTCTGATAAATAATAACAATACAGAATGAAGTTTTTCAGAGGGTAGTCAATGTGCTTTCAATAAACATACCGATGGGAATCACGCTGTATGTGCTTAAAATAAAACAAATTCAGGATAAAACACTGTCTTGTTTGTTTAAAGTTTTAAAACAGAGTGCTATCAAAATTATGTGAATTATTATCCCGAAGAGTATTACATTTTACTCAACGTAAGATGCTGCTATCACTTCATGTAAGTCGAAACACTGATTTTGGTACTAAGTGCATGCGTTCTATACCTAGCTATAAAGCGCACCCCCACTTATTTTGTTGAAAATTAAATAAATCTTTTGATACATTTCGTGGTATATCTATATCCTGATACGATTATTAATCCCATAACCAATGTGGCACTCCTTTTTTTGTCAATTCTTCATACCAACTTTAATGATTCTCAAATAAATTTCGAAATTCCAGTGATATAACGGAGACTTATTGCATACTTTAACTTTTTTTTATCATCACTACACATGAACGATTGCTCTTGTGCAAGCCGGGAGGGAGGGAGAAGGGTGAGGGGGGGGGGGGGGTCGGAGTGGCAAAATTGCTAACAGCTGCACAGGGGTCCCCACCCCTTCCGATCCCTACATCCTCTCATTGCCTCCCTGGTTTGAGGAGTCGGAAATGTCTAAATCGCGTGCCGATATGAGCCGCTGGTTACATCATTGGTCCTCTTACATCCAGCACACGCCGAAGTCTCGCTCACCCGAGCATGACGGGCTGAGAAACCTCTACCTTCCCCCCACTCTGGTGTGATTAAAACCCAACGCGAACAGCAGCGACAGTGGGGAAAAATGGTAGGACTCGCGCGAAGATGTTACAGTGTTTTCGCGGATGAGGTGCGCGCGGGGAGGGAGGAACGAGAGGGGGGACTCGCGGAGAGATGGGATGCGTATGGGAAGATATCAGAGGGGTGGAGCGATGGAAACAGACAGATAGAGAATAAAAGAGTCGGAGAGAGACAAAAAGATAGATGGAGAAAGAGAGAGAGAGAGAGAGAGAGAGAGAGAGAGAGAGAGAGTAAAATGAGGAATGAAGACAGATAGATGGAATGAAATTTACGGAAAGTAACAGTTTTAAAGACTACTTGACTGTAACTCCAGTCTATTTGTTATAATTTTTCTTTGTTGTCATGGTTGATCTAGACTAAAGATAACCGGATATCATCTCGTTCTAATATACTGATACCTTTTTCCTGAATGTGCTTACCTATACATATTCTCACTTCATACGAATCTGTTTGAAGTATGTTACATCGTAAGTTGGTAAACCTTTTCTTTAAAAAAATATATCATAATACCTGTGTGCTGTATGTCACCTTATCAACATAAATGTCATAAGCTATAAAACAAACAAGAAAAAGGGGGGGGGGGGGGGGGTATCGTGCATCCCTTATATCCCCATTCGCTTCTCCTACACCCCTGTGCGTGCGAGGGGTTTGAATGAGGACCAACCGGTCCGGAACAGGGTGGTACAGGCTACGAGTTCTGGACTAGGCCAGCCGTGTAATGGTTTTGTCTGTACTGAACTTTTCCCTTAAACTCATCCTGCCAAAGCGACCTCTCAAGATTGCATGATTGTCTGGATGGCGTAGGTTTGGAGGGCAAAGGGGGGGGGGTTCGTGTGCCCCCACCACACCCCACCAAGCAAGGGAGTGGGGAAGGTGAGAAATATATGGACAAAGAGGAAAGAGAGACAGAGAGAAAGAGAGACAGAGACAGCGAGAGAAAGAGAGAGAGAGAGAGACAGACAGACAGACAGAGACAGAATAGAGAGACAGAGACAGACATAGAGAGAAAGACAGAGAGAAAGAGAGAGATAGAGAGACATATAGAGAGAAAGACAGATAGAAAGAGAGAGAGAGATAGAGAGAAAGACAGAGAGAAAGAGAGAAAGCGATAGAGAGAGAGAGAGATAGAGAGACAGGCAGAGAGAAAGAGAGATAGAGAGAGACAGACAGAGAGACAGAGAGAGACAGAGAAAGAGAGACAGAGAGACAGATAATCAGAGAAAGAGAGAGAGAGAGATAGACAGAGACAGAGATATACATAATAATATTAAATTAGTAAAAATAAAAGATGAAGAGATAAAGTGAAAATAAGATGATATAACACTTTCCACATCCTTCCCTCACTATATTATTATGGCAATAATTTATACTCTTGCATTCCATCTAGCGAGCGTGCCCCCCCACGACACCGATGCTCCCTCCCCTCAAATCGCTAGACCCGAGCTACGCCCCTGGTGGAAGTCCATCATCAGTTCCAAGGATCTCAAAGAGGGATGTAATCGTCCAGAGTACGAAAGACTGGTGAAATAATTAGTGGCCATCATCTCGTGCGACAGACAGTTGTGTCTTTCATAGGGAGAATTCATGTGGCATTGTAGAGGCTACTACTCAGGTGTATCTAACAGAAATGATTTAGTAAATGATGTTCCTGACTAATATTTGACCTTTTCACTCAACCAATCGCAGGTAATACTTTTTTTCATTCTGCGTGTGGGATCTTCATTTGAGATCGATTACATCTATTTTCATTCTCTTTCTTTGTGATAGGGTTTTCATTCTCTTTCTTTCTGAAATTCTCTTTTAGTTTACCCATTATTTTGTATCCTCCTTCTTCTCCTCCTCTTCTTCTCCTCCGTCTTTTTCTTCTTCCCCTTCTCCTCCTCCATCTCCTCCTTCTTCGTCTTCTTCTTCTTCTTCTTCTTCTTGTCTTTTTTCTTCTTCTTCTTCTTCTTCTTCTTCTTCTTCTTCTTCTTCTTGTCTTTCTTCTTCTTCTTCTCCTTCTTCTTCTTGTCTTTTTCTTCTTCTTCTTCTCCTTCTTCTTCTCCTTCTTCTTGTTCTTCTTCTTCTTCTTGTTCTTCTTCTTCTACATCTTCTTCTTCTTCTTCTTCTTCTCCTCCTCCTCCTCCTCATTCTTCCTCCTTCTTCTTCTCCTTCACCTCCTTCTTCTTCTGCATCTTCTTCTCTTTATTATTTTACAGTTTCTCTCACATTTTCGTTTCATCTTCTGTCGCATCATCTCTATTGAAATCAATCGATTGCTTTTACCTCTCATTTTTATTTGAATTTATTCTACACTACCAATCTCCCGCTTTATATTCCTTTTGTTTGTGTCTCCGTCCGTTTGTCCACTGTCTGTCTGTCTGTGTCTGTCATGAGCGTCAGCTGTCACATAATATAATTCCTGCTCTTCCTTCATCCCATGACCTCCATCATGGACTTAAGACGATCAGAGAATAGACAAGATGACAGTTCTTGTATTCTACCCGTGATTAGGCGAGAAATCAACCGTTTAGCATTCACACGCACTCCACAAAATCGTCAGAATCTCGTTTTCCAGCGAAATGATTTTCTCCAATGCAAGAGATGGATGAGACAAAGAAGTAGCGTTCATCGTCACTAAATAACTATTATAAAAAAGCAAAATGGAGGTAAAAAGCAGAACGAAGAGTCAACAGAGCGATATAAATCACGAACATGAATATACCAACAGAATCGTTTTTAGTTTATATGTATTTTTGTATATTGCATAATGAAATCTCGTTAACATTGTACATCAATATTTTGAAAACGACATAAAAGAGCAGTAAATGACAAATAAAACACAATATTAGACGTTGTATAGTCTAGTTACTTTATATAAGTCAACTAAAAAGTTAATAATAATTCGCATTTTTTCATTATGTAGAAGGAAACAATAAAAGCAATCAATTAATAATAAGAAACATGAAGTAAATGGAGCTCAATTCTATATTTGATTGAAGTATGAGCGGGGATAATAAATCATTCAAAACATTCAAAATGCACGAAACCATTGGAAGTAGTCAGTGTCGTGCTAAAGTTTTTCCTCTCCCGAAAATTTAGAGAGAGGGAGAGAGAGAAAGATAGAGAGAGATAGAGAGAGAGAGAGAAAGATAGATAGCTAGAGAGAGAGAAGAAGGGAAGAGAGTGGGAGAGAGAGAGAGAGTTTAGAACGCTAATGCAAGTAATAAATGCTAAAGCAAATGCCAAGTTTACCAACAACCTTGAACCTGTTCTTTCAAACCTTCCAAGAAATTTGAAAAGATTCTTAATGAAAGTGGTAACGAGAGAACCACTTTCTTAATTTCTGGGGGACTTCACAGAGAGCCCCGTCAAAAAAAGATGTCTACCAAACTCACTAATCAAACTATTTGTTAATAGAAATTGACATTTAACGCATGTGGTATAACGAAGTCAACGCGACTGCTTATACTTTATCGCGACAACGCGTTATTGACGCAGAATATGTCACTCAAATCATGTCGAATCGATGATTATGGCACTTAATTAGAAAAACGAATGCTATTATGACAATTTCATGTTCTGGTATCTCGTAACCCTACCAGTTACCAATCTGTTTTCCAATCAATCTCTACCGTACCTACATCCCGCGATGAACATGCACTTTCCAAAATCGACTGATTAAAATCTTTCTTAAATACTTGCCGATAGAGATGAGACCAAAGTAGAATAGCAGATCCGGCCTGCACTTTCGCAGAAGCAACATTACACTCTTTAGATTCCGCGTTTGTAATATGCGATATTACAAACGCGAAAAGTTTCTGGATATTTGCTTTTTCACCTGAACAGTCGTCATCATGTTAATAAATTGCATTTAATGTTATAAAATGGTATTGCGTATCGTTCAGCCATATGCGATTCGCAACATTCTGGTTATACGAAATCCTTTAAAATGTCGACTTGAAGTTTCTTTTCGGTTAACTTATGGTTTTTCTATCGATAAGTTTTACGCGCGTTAAATAAACACGTGTGTTATCATCATCGTCATTTTGAATTAATGTAGTGTTTCTTTCATTTTTTATCGGTCGAAGACAATTGGGTTATGTAAAGTAAGAGTCAAGATAAAAATAATAATAATATTTAATTTTTATATAGCGCTTATTACAAATGTCTCTAAGCACTTTACAAATATACTATTACCCCGGTCATTGGATTCAGTGCTTGCTCGCACACAAGATAAGGATTAAATAGGAAATACTATTGATAAAGTAGTTACCCCTCTTTTTTAATAACAATAATTTGAAGAAGACACAACTTGCGTTTATTATAGCTATAAAGTTTGATTCGACTCAAAGCCAATTTTGGACCATGACCTTTAAATTAGCCTTTAAGAGTTTTCAACAAAAATAGCTTAACAATGTCAGTAAAATTGGATCAAACACAAATAAGTTACACATAATACAAAACAAGTTTTATGGTCACTGTTGTTCACACATTACACCCACTAACAGACAAAAATAATATTATCGTTTGTCTCCATGCAGCGCTCGATCTACTTACGCTCAAATAATTATTATGAGGTTCACCGCATAAAAGACCAAGAACAACGAGTCTCTCATCATGATGGGTTCTAAACTATATGAAAGTGATGAGGAAAAGGGGTAAAGAGATCAGCTGTTGTACCCCTATACCAGACGATACCAGTTTTAAGGGGGTAAGTAGTGTTTGTGTACGCCACGTCTATAGGGACACTGCACGGTGTATACGCACGCGCTCACACACCAATTTCGCACACACACACACAGAATACACACCGGGCGTAATTTGACACCAACTGGAGACGCCGTTTCAGCGCGCTCGCAGCAGATGTGCGCGGATGCGTGCCACCTTTTTATGTTTTATTTACTCTTCGGAGGGAGTGAATAAGTCATGAACGGGTGGAAAACAAAAGCTTATGATATCCTCATCATTTGGGCGTTATTCAGTTTTCATGAACATAGAAGAAAATCCAATAACTCCACTTAAAAAGAAAAAAAAAGAATGCTGTATTTTATATTCTATATTGGAAAAAAAAACGACAAAACAATATGATCGGCAGGTGGAAATGGAATTCAAGAACAAAAAAAGGAATAGTGAATTGGATTTAAAAAAAAGAAGAATGCAAATGAGGATGAAGATGATTCAAAAGCAAGAACGAAAGAGAGAAATATGTTTAAAATATATAGAAAAGGAGAGGAAGAAATAAAGAAAGATGTACCGCCATAAATAAAGAGAGAGAGAGAGAGAGAGAGAATGGGGTGAAGGAGAATTAAAAAATGTTCTCTTAGTATCCTTAAATTTATTTAAGTGGAACACTTTTTAGGAGAAGCCATTCATATTAACAAATGTCATGTCATGAAATAATGAAGGACAAAAAGCAAAAACAGAGCCTGAGTTTAAAATCCATTGCCACATTTACCGTGGACAGACTTTTTTATTGGCTAATGCATAAATCGTGTCTGAAGGACTTATATTTCAGTATGATCTCAATAAACTAATAAAGGACAAACGATCATTATTTTCTGCAACTTGAATAAAACGTGATAATAGAGTACTTTCCTTCAATTTGCAGATAAAAAAGGGAAACGTGTCGCATGCGTATCGCTAAATATGTGAGCAGCATTACAAATTAACAATGAGTACGTATGGATCAATAAGGGTAATATTGAGCCTTTGTGTATACATGAATGCGTGATCATGGCTGTAACGTTGCTGTTTTTTCCCTAAAGCAAAATTTACTTTTGATTAACATAGTGTCCTGTTAAAATAAGACATTATATGAATTGATAAAGAGGGATGAAATAAAAATTCATTTCAAAATGATATAGCTCCCGTTTTAATCAGACACAATATCCCATTTATCTATTGATTTTCTTCTTATGTAGGCCTATACCTAAGTATATGTTTTGTTTCTTAATGGAAACAAGTAACTAAAATGAAATGAATTGA